CATCCAGCTTCATTAGTTTTAGTCTATAAAGATCTTCATATCCTAAGCTTCTAGATTGTACTGACCTTCTGTTATTGGCTCGGTAACCTGATTAGTTATTTTATCAAGATATAGACCCGCTGGTCTATCGACCTTCTTATTATTTTATATTAAAATTATATAACTTGTTATCAATCTTAATAGCTGTTTTAATTATTTTAATCAATATGTCCGGTCATTCTTGCTAAATGATCTTCTCTTAAATCTCTATTTTAAATCCTTCTTTAAATCATGTAATATAGGTATTATCATTCCAGTCTAAATAACTGATAACTTATTAAAACTCTAAAACATATATAGATACTGATTCTATTTACTTAAGTTATTATAACTTTTACTTAGTATTTCATGCTGTATTAATATCTCTAAATATCTGTTTAAGATACTGTTTAAATCTAGTATAACTAGCGAAAAATCACTTTATATTATTATCTTAGTTACTTATCAACTTTTCTTGTCACTCGCGGATATATAGTTCGAACTAATCAAATACTGCTTTAGTCAGGTAAGTGGATGTAAAGAAGATCTTGTTCTCCTTATTCTTAAGCTTTTTCTTATTCATGCTGAGATATAGATCTAACTGGGTCAAGAAAGCTCTAAGCTTCGCTTATTTACTGTCAAATGGCTCAGGTAGTCGGACCTTAACAGATTTAACTGTTAAGCAACCTTCAAGTAACTGGTTTTATTATTTTAAGACAGTGATACTTTCTTGTAACTAACTAATCATATCTATTAATTTCTTGATTATCGGGCCCTGCTGTAGCGCACGTGATATGTTTAATATAGTTAACATGATGACTAGTTGTTACTGGGTAACACTTGTACTAACTAGTACTTAATATATTAAATCTTAGGATTACTTCTTTCTATTTCTATTAGCTTAGCTCCCGTTTTAATACGTACCTGTGAACTGAATCAAGGTAGTCAGGTTAATAACTATCTAAAGATAACTTAATCTGAATAAGAGAAGAGAAGTAAGGCCAGATAGTGCCGTGTAGCTATCCGTAAGTAAGTACAGACAAGTATTATCACTAAGCTTTACCAAAACATATGGTTACTTAAAAACAGTATTATTGAGCATGAAGAACAGAACTAGCTAAGTATATGAAAGAATGTCTTTATATATCCTGTCCTTTATATACCGTGTTGTATACCATTCCATATACCACAGACATATATCATATACCTGATCATATACCTTCTCGTATACCCGCAGTCACGTGACACGTGATACGTGGCGGCCCAGTTCGGGTTCTGCCTGATAAGAGTTGCACCTCTCCGGGTGTAGCCCTTCTGCCTGACGTAACCGCCTCACTAGTCCCTTTAGCTAGCAGGGGTCCGTAACAGGTATCTTTTATAATAATATTCTAGTATACTGTTTTATTATATTAAGACTATATAGTCTTACTTGTAAAAAGAGTGTTATCCTTTTTTATAATATATATTATATCTATATATTATAACTGAGTGATCTAATCAACATAACTCTAGATATTCTTAATCTTTATTATTATAGTAATATTCTTTCTCTAACATCCATATTTTGCTAGTATATAATTTAGCTTAACACAGTTTATTAATATTGTTTTAATTATTCTTACGGCTGACGCACACAAGGTGAGCATAGAAAAAAGCCTTGAAAAGAGTAAACTAAAGTAACCAGTATTATTAATATCCAAATTCAGCCCAGGGCATATGCCGGGAACTGCTAACCTAGGATAATTAGATTCTTTTTAATGATCCGGACACGACACAAGTTCTGTTATAAATAAAGATAAATCTAATATAGAGTATCTCTCTATTTCTACCTCTAGCAGTATAGAGCTATTACTTATTAAATATACTTTACTGTAAGCTGCAAGAGCAGTATTACCTATCTTCAGCTTTTCAGTACTTAGTGACTTATCGAATACTACTATACAAGTATTGAATTATTCAGTTTTTTCAGGTAATGCAGTATCACTATCCTTTTAAAAAAAATCTTTTATTTAGTGATTTATTAATATTTATACTCTTCTTATCTCTTTTCTTTTCTTTATAAAAGAGCTATTTATCTTTATATAATTTACTCTGCCCTGTTTCTCTGCAGATGATAATACCTGATAAAATCCACAGTATCTATTTATAGATATATTCTTTATTCCAGTACTAAGCTGAGTTTTATAAATAAAAATATATGTTAGTATATTTATAACTCTCTTAACAACAGCTGAGTACTTACTAAAATTAGAAATATCAAGAATATATTATTTTATTAGTTTGTCACTGCAGTCACTGATTCCACAGAGTATCAGTAACTTACAGATCTTTTATACTATCAGAATCTGGATTACTTTTTTTATAATACTTGATTCTAATCTCTTTAATTATTCTATTGAATAGTCTTATAATATATATCCAATAGCTCTATTAAGATAGAAATATATTTATTATTAATATTAATAAAACTCCAGTTCACATCCACACTAGACCTAAACTGGTTGGAACTGTCCCATATGTTGCTAGCCACGGATCAATAGACAGGTCAATATCTAATTAAAGAATAAAAGAAAGTAAGCATATGAGAGGACTTTCTAAGTATAATTATCAAGTATTATATAAAGATAAAGCTACTTGAGTTTTTCTTTTCAACTATCTGGAGTATTATCAGTTTATTTAAATATCTATTTTTTATAACATTATTTTAACTTAACTTTTTAAAAGCAGGAAATAGACTTGCTTATTAATCACCCTATATAAATAAGATAGGTAAGAATTAATGATTAAATACTCTACTTTTAAAAGATGTTTAACCAGAGTGGTTAAACCCTCTTAAAATAGGTGCGCGGAATCGTTGAGCTATTAGACAAATATAATAATCTATTTAAATTGATTTTATCAGTCTTAAAATAATAGAAAGTTAGGAATGAAATATCTTGTTAAGTCTCAAACACTAGTGCACAGTATATCAGTTCATGATTATTTATTCTATCTATTTATATTACTGGCATACTCACCCAGGGTAAGCACGTAGTATAGATAATCAGTATTTATAATATCTTATAAATATCAGTGTATATTTATTAAGCCTTCTTTATAATAGTTACTTCTTAATCTCTCACCTGGCCCGGCCAAGGATAGCAGGGCTACAAGTAATAACTGCTACACTAATCATCAAGATTTAGAAAAAGACTCTATTTAGTTATCTAAAAGTCTAAATAAATCACTTTAAACAAGCAGCAGTAATCTAGAGAGGCAGCATAAATCAAGAAGACTATAGTAATCTAGATAGAGGATAGGATAATACAGTAATCAGATAAGACTAGTTAAATATATTAAATTATTTTATATATTTTTTAATAATGGTCAAAATCCCAGTAGACTATCTAAATATTTTAATAGTCAAATATAAGTAAACACTGCGAAAGTCTGATTTAAGATAAGAAGATAAGTAGAAAACTGTTTATAAATTATAATAACTTATAGAATTTTATATAATACTAAAAAAACCAAACAAGCAGAAGTCATCTAAGTCCTCAACCTTATCTAAGAAGATAATATAATAAAAATAAGACTAGTATAAAAAGAGCCTCTTATAAAAGATCTATAAATACAGTAAGCTATGTGATGCTGACATCTATCTGGATATTTATATTTAAGAGTCTGGTTAAGTCACTATATTTCTCTCTGATTTAACAGGATTCTGGTCAGGCCTTTTCTTATAACTAGTATATTTTTAGTATACTTATTATCAATATATAAACTAATACTAAATAAGAAATATACTATCCACGGCCGACGTAGAAAATAGAGAAGAATTTTAACTTTAATTCTATAATTAATGATGACTCAGCTGCAGCTGAAGATGTTAAAGAGGGGAAACAATGAGAAGACCTATGATTATTTGTTATGATTAGATATACTATAATAACCAGTGGAATGCATGCACTGGCTTAAAAAAGTAGAATAAAAAGAATAATTATATTAACCTTATTTTGGCTACGGCTGCCGAAGTGTAGAGTCAATATGATGATTAACATGCTCTGATCATGTAATAATTGATCTTATCTTCTTGAGTCTATTTATAAAACCGGACTTTATCTTTCTCTGTGTTATCTGACTCTTAGTTTTTATTAGTTAAAATCAGTATTTCTTTACTGGTAATAATGCTGATCACTTTATAAATATATTTAGTTCAATCATATTCTTAGCAGGACAAGACAGATTCTCTCTTGATGAACTAACTCTTTAATATCTGAATTTCATATTTAGAAACAGTTAAGATTTATATTAGCCAGTTATCTTGGCTTTACTATCTCGTGACTACTTTATCTTTCAAGTTACAGTATCTTACAAGAATGCGCGGTTTCAGATAAAAGCCAGATATTATGAATATTTACTTTATTATTGACTAAGAATCTTCCAGAAAAGCCCTAACCAGCAGTGAGTACTTAGTATATAATAAATTTCCAAGTATAAGCTATTCTTATAGCAAGTATCTCTTCCTGGTCTCTTCCTTACCCTTACTTTATCTTCATTTCCTTCTAGCTTCTCCTTCAACCAACTCCACTCCCCCGGAAAATTATCACACCTGAAGTGTTGATTATATGTTATTTATATTTAATCAGTGAGTGACTGATGCCGGGACCCTTGTCTCCCATTATTTATCTGTCTTAGGTTTTTAGATAGAAGTCTCTTCCTTGAAGAGAATGGCCGCACATATTACGGATATCAGAGAGGAGTCTATATATTACTGTATAATGAAGAGAAGCAGGACTGTCTTGATTAGTTCTATAAGCTCTTCACAGGCAGGTGTGGGAGGGGAGACTTCAGGAACAGACTGACAGCTCTATAGGCAAATTCTAGCTCTCCTGTGGATGCAACTTTCAATAACCGGAAACCTCCAGAAGATGCAAATAAGTCTCATGGTAGGCCTTGCTCTGTCGTTCTAGGCGCATGTTAGAAAGATTAAAACATTTGCAGCGAGAGAAGTCTGCGTGGACGCGGCGGAATCCGTTGTTCAGCTCCTCCGCATTTATCGCGCCAAGTGGGGGATTGACTACATGTGCCTTACCACCGTAAGTTGCGTGAGCACGGCGCTTTTCACTTTGCTAAGCGAGCTCGGTGACCCGGGGTGTAAGAGCGCCTTCGCGGAACTCTGCGTACACGCCCGTGCCTGTTCCCGCAGGTGGCCCCTAATGAAAGGCCTCATGCGCATGTTGCAGCTTTCAGCGCGTAAAAACCATGTGACTCTTCTCCCAGAGACCCACGCGCTGTTTGTTGACTTTGAAGCAACCATATGGGAGAGACATGATGACGAGCGCTTTAAGAGTATTTATCCAAACTTTTGCATCTAGTGAAGCGTAGATGGCAACTCTTTTTATTTTTATTTCTATTTTTATTTTTATTGAGGGGGGTGGGACTCCTCGAACTAGCGAGGCCCCGGGGGTAAACTCGGTAGATGATGACCTAAAAACCTTGTTTTACCAGCTCATCTAGTCTGGACAAATGATGATGGCAAGATTTCGTACGGCGACCCTTCGCAAGACGGCACAAATGCCCATACTCCTTGACTTGTTCTGAAAATTATTTGTCTAAAGCATGCTAGGCATTAGATCTATGGCGTTGGGACACGTCGTAAGCTGCTGTAGACATCTATCCAAAGCCAGCGTTCCCTGCCCCGCGTCTGGCCGTGATTACATAAATACCTCTAGTTGCTTGATGACGCCTGACCAGCGGAATTCGAAGAGCCTTCTGAATATTTGCCTGAGGTTCTTACACAACGCAGGCCTAGGGTCTGATTACCTGTAGGGTCGAGTGCACCAGAGCAGAGGGCTGTTATTGTTGACCTGAGTGCTAACAACCTGGGTCATACAAACGCACTCAGATCCTTTGGTTTCAGCCCAGGCTGATCTCTAGAATGTTCTACGGATCTTGCTGGGTCAGGCATATCAAGCCAAGAGGCGCAACGCTTATGTCATCACGGCCAGAGGCGAGACATGGAACGCTGGCTCGGGAGCTATTGCTCATAGTCGTCGTCGCGGTCGTTCTCGGTTTTTCATACGCTGGCCCCTCGCCTGATGCTATATCCCCATTAGACTTAATTACGGATCCGCATTCACACTCCACACCAGGCCGAAGACCTTATTGAGATAAGTGAGTGAGGTTGATTCGTGTTGATTGACTTAAGGAGTTATCTTTTACAGGGGCGGGATGCCTCATATATATATCCGTTCCCAATCCCTGCCATAAGGTTCAGCCACCATAATATTCAACACAGCCACCCGTGATACTCAACAATGGACGCCAGTTAGCGGTCCTACGCCTGTGCCAGTCGTGCGACCAGTGTCCTGAGACCATACAGATCGGGCGCATCGGAACAGAGGGCTGGTGCCCGGGACCTGGGTGCTGCCGAACTGGGTCGTTCGGCGCGATGCGTAGGTCCTGTGACTTAGTACCAGGTACGCCAGACCCTGTGCGCCTGACCCACATATTCTTAGGACGCTGGTCGCGCGACTGGCACAGGCGTAGAACCACCAACTAGCGTCCATACCAGGCCAAAGACCTTGTCAGTCGTCCATCCAAATTCGTACGACCTAATTGGTCTGAAGAACATGCGCTCTGAGACTACTCTGATAATATATAATACGCGTTGGCCATGTTTTGCTTATTAAATATATAATAATCAATATTATTCTGAGAGCACAGATATTGGTATTAGATATGGCAAGATATTCTAAGAGCATGTTAAAGGTGTATTTTCTATAATCATACTCAGGTCTATTAAACATAGCCCATCACAGGGAAGTATCTTTACTGTAGAAGAGCATATATATACTTAGAAAGGACTATCAGGATAGTCTATCATATACTTAGATGATTCTTTCTTTAGACGAGTCTCTGCCAATGGATGTTGTGAATACTGGTTCATTACAGTATTTACAGTATCAATTATTCTAAATTTTAATCTAGAAGTATCATATCGTGGAAGTATTGCTTGAACAGTGAAAACATATGTAAGACTAATCTGCAGTTCTGATATCTTCTACAGCTGCCCGCAAAGTGGCTTTGTACAGTAAGGGCGATGTAGAAAGGAGATAGAGAGGCGCCTATACCACCATTTTCTTCCTGGGAGAGTCTTCAATTCAGCTCGTCCTGTCCACGGAAATTATTCGCTTTGGTCGTCCTCCCCGACGCGGGCTGCCTTCCAGGACATTATAATACATCCGTGCAGCCTCGAGTGACCTCATTCTATCGCTTCCACTCGTATTCTACTGATCAAAAGGTGGGCCACGTCATCACTTTGCCTATGAGATAGGTTTGCTGTGGAAGATGCTCTGTAGCATGGATTTATCCCCCATCCCCTCCCGTACACGCTGCAGGGGGGCATGCAGTGGTCGATTCCGTGTACTTATGACCTGTGTCTTCAAATTGCTGAGTCGATCAATCTTTCGACTAGAACCAAATATCAGGGTCCGTGTCAGAGTCATTGGCAGAGTAACTGTCACTCTAATCATCATCACTAGAGCTGGTGTCCGAATTATCGTTTTGTTTCGCGACGCCTGCTAAAGCAGTAGGACTTCGACTGGGAACACTGTTGCTCAGGGTATCAGGCACGGCTGGCGTTACTTTATACCACCGTCTTTAGAGCTACAGCCTGAGTCTATGTTTATATAGCTTAAAGAAGAAGATCTTTTCTTACTTCCGCGAGACTTCCTTTCTGTAGACTATTATCTAGAGCAGTTCTAACAGGTTTGACCCTTGTCTTCACCCACTTGCTATAGAGATAAGTTAGAGTTGTAATATCAGTAATATCTATTAAAAAATCTATATTGATAGTATTATCTGAGTCTAAGCAGAAAGATACACTGTTATCAGTTCCGTTATTATTGCTGCTATGACCAATGTTGTGATGTAGTAAACAGCATACCATGGCTTAAAAAAGGAAGTTAAGTAACCAGTCTACTGGAAAGAGAGATTTAAAGAGAATAAGATTATAAGATAATTAATAATAATAACAGGCAGAGATTATAGGAAGAAGAAATAGCTAAGAAGTATTAATAGATAAAAGAAAAAAAGATAGCATTATTATTTATAAGATGACCACTGCGGGGGGCTCTTTACTTTTAAAAAAATAATCATTTTCAGTTAATTATAAAAGATGAGTTAGGATACAAGTTTTAATAGTATAAGAGCTTAAAAAAAATCCTATAATCAGATTAATAAACTAAACAATAAATATAGCTAATCAAAGCTGATGGGTGTTCAGAAGCGATGGATATATAAAGATAATAAGTTGTTAAAAATAATAATATTTTAAAGATAATAAGAGAATAGTGGGTCCTAAATTATAGGGTGCTAATAATAATATTTATAACTTATACTCTTATTTTAAAGTATTAGATATATAAGTTATAAGTTTAATGTTACCAGCAGCTGTATTTATAAGGGACAATATACTAAATAAATTATATATATTATGGCTACTTGAGGCTAGGGTTCCGCACAGCCATCAATTATGATTGACTAGAACGGTAAAAAATAAGACCAGGACTGACCAAGGTTAAGCTAATATGTTACAGCAACCTCTCCGCATACCCGTCTAGTTGAGCATTAATTAAATAAACATTTCTAGATAATACCTATCAAGCAAATGGAAAACAGCAGCCCACCCGACTACCAAGCGCTCTATTTGAGGACAGAGGAGGAACGCCAGCGGGAAGCAGAGCTTAGGAAACAAGCTGAGGAGGAACGTCAGCGGGGAGCAGAGCTTAGGAAACAAGCAGAGGAACGCGAACGGCAAGCTGAGGAATGCCAACGACAAGCCGAGGAACATCAGCAGCAAGCAGAGCAGGAAAGGGACCAGGAAAGAGAGCAAACACGACGAACCACCTTTGCAGAGCTAATTCGATACTGCCACAACTATACTTCTCTATACCTGAGAGTCGAAAGTCCGTCCCGTTCTACGACGGGAACGATTCCGGCGCCTAAGGGAAAGCGCTGTCCGCTGCAGCTTCTGCCTTGGACCGAGTGCACAGCTATACAGCAAGAGATCTATCACTCTGTACTTATTTAGCACCGCCTGGATAACCTGCTGCACAAGTGTTTCGTCGCGTACTGTCCTAAAGGGGTTTAGGAAAGAGTTTAAAAAGAGAGCTATAAGCAGTAAGCAGGATCTGCAAAGCTATAAGAGATTTAGAGTGGAAAACTATGTCTGTAATATTATTACAGAACTCTACAGGATATATACTATTTAAAAGAAATTTCAGTTAAATAATAAAATTCAGTTTAATAACCATATAAATATCCTTGATACGGTTGACACTAACCAGTCTAAAACAGATAAATCAGTGAATTTCTGACTAGATCAATATTACATCCACTAGATTAATAGTAATAAAAATATAATTATTATAATAATTAAATATAAGTCACTCTATAAACTATCTGTAAAGAATCTTTGAGCAGATTTATAACTAATATAGTTTTAGGATAAAATAATTAGACCGGACTCTATTTTTATAAAGAGACTTGAGAAACTGAGACATAATACAGCTTAGTTAACCAGCTTAGCTATGATTTAGGAGTATTATGTCATGCTCTAGAAAAGACTTGAATACTTATATTTAATTAATAAATTTATATTAATATTGCTGCGGGTTTCTTATAATAATCCAGGTATTTTATACTATTATTTCTATAAATCTAACATAAAGATTAACCCGGATGATAAACTAGGTTTTTTATAATAACTATTAACAGCTATTACTTAGATATTATATTTATACTTTATGAGTTTCTACTTATAATATTATAATCAGGAATAACAGAATATTATAAAAAAGCTGCTAAAATAGAAGATAAATTTCAATCATATATGTTCCCAGATCCCGGAATCGGAATTGCAACAAAACCCGCCTGATTCAGAATATACAGCATCAAAGTATACGAGCTCTGAACCTACTATATCAGAATATATACTATCTTCATCTTCTACTCCTCCCCCCCCCTGCTGACACCCATCAAATATCTACCTAGTCTCGAGCTAGCTACGCGTTGCTGAATCTGACATTATATCATGATTCTGATTCTAACACAGATCAAGCTCCAGAAGGAAGAAAGCATGGCTTTAGTCAGGTTACATCCTCTTCTTTATCTTTATCTGCTTAACGATCAGCATATCTAGCAGAAGATTAATATATTCTGATTAGCAGCTAAGATTAGTAGTATATTATATAGTTTTATATTCAGAAATGTTTATATAGCCTGTAATAAGATGGTTAACTGGATATTAATTATCTAAATATCATGCTTTACTGATAGAGAGAGAACAGTAGCTAATATCTTATTAATACTAAAATACTGATTAAGTAACTTAAACAGTAACTAAATAAAAATGTTAACTAAGACTATATATTAATAGAAGATTATAATATATTAGGAGTCTTATTTAAAGTTACTTATATAATATATAGATATATTATAATTAGTAAAGATATAATTCTCTAACAGTGGAAAGAGATTAAACGTAAGAAAGTTATATACTGTATACTTAACCAAGCACAGGCTTCTACTGTTTTTGTTTTTTTAAGAGTAATTAATTTAGCTAAATCTTACTTTATATATGGAGCTGGTGAGATTTACTATATACTTATCATAATCTGGAAAGGATAAATCTATATATAAGATAAAGTATAATATTATAATCACACGTAAGATTGTGAGATCTAAAAAAAAGATTTATTTTTAAAAAGTCTTATATCAGGAACTCTAGTCAGATAATATTCTATAAAATATTAAGCTGGGATAGATCCTGATTATTGACTTTTACTGCTTAAAACTGAATTATTAATCTATAAAAAGATAGATAAAGTCACCTGGAAGGTATCTATATAAAAAAATATATAAATAAAAATAACTTTATATTGTTTAATATTAATAATAAGAGGAATTACATGCTTGTACATAAATAAATAATATGGACTAGCAGTAATATGATTAATAAAAAAATTCTTAAATAAATACAGAATCATTATTTATACAGTAGCTGTCTTTATAACTTGAAGTCCTTATGAACAGTCTGCCAGATTGTCATCAGCAAAAGAAAAGCAGAGGGCCTCTAAATCTCAGTACATGAAAAGACACAGTTTTGGGCCGAAGGCCACAATATTCCGTGTCAGTTGGCGACGGCAGAGCCACAGTTCTGGGCCGAAGGCCACAATATTCCGTGTCAGTTGGCGGCGGCGGAGCCACAGATAAGTAGTAGTCCCATCCGCCTTGTGTTGGTTTCCCCACTAGACTAAAATACGAATTAGCACCTAGCCCAGTGGTTTATGGTTTAGAATCCAACTCCTTGGGCGAATGCAGGTATTTACTATATAGTAATCTCTCTCAATACAGGTCTTTACTGTAAGCTATTTCTTTCCTGATAAATCTGGAGTCTTATCAAGGCTTATAACTATTTCTCTTCTTCTCTATCTTACTATAAGAGAAAGAGTTAGGTACTATTATAGCAACGAATTTCATTGTTGTGATAAATATAATGCTGGAGATAGGAATCAAACCCACTATCTCTAAATAACAAGGTAACCAATCCTGCATCTTTTAAAAGTTATCTCAGAGTGCTTACTACTACGCCATCACCACCAGTAGTGACAAATCAGCTTGGTCTCAAATCTTGCAGAGTGATACGTGTAACAGGGCCTAGGGGCATGTACATGATAGCAGGGCCAGGACTTGTTCTCTGTACATGCTAAATACACCTGCCTCATGCCTACGCGCAGGGACTCTTCGCCCATTAGAGAGAACTTCCCATCCCTAAGGTAGCTTGACCCCACGCAAGGGAATTTCTCTCTGTATAAGATAATCTACTCACCTGTTAAAAAAACTTTGCTCTTATTTAACCCGGTGCCTCTCCTGAATAACTTTCCCATTAATGTCTGTAACTAAAACTGCTTCTTCTATTTCTTATGAACTTAAAGATTAGCAACTCTCTTCACCTGATTTTATAATAAATTATTCAAGCTAAGACCTAGTAGCCTAGACAGGCTAATACAAGATTCAGATAACAGCCAAGGATTTTGACTCTAATCCTTCTATTAATAAGAATAACTTAATCATAGCTCAAGAAGTCAAGGCAGCAAGAACAGGAGACTAATTATTATCAGTTACCAATAATCATCTAGCAATAAATCATAAAATAAATAGCTATTAATATCTTTTATAAGATCTAATATTCATTAAATAGAGTCCCTGGTCTACCATATAGGCCTTTATAAAATGAGTAGTCAGAGAAGATTTTCTACGCGTTGGGCAGATCTGTACGTGCAGGCCGGCACCAAGCACATACTTGAGTATTTTAGGGGCTCAGGTGCTTGGCCCTGGGCGTCTGGGGGACTTAGGTCCACGCGCCTAGATCCAAGAGCTGTCTAGATTCACTGCCTTAGGCCATAATGACTGGGCTGTCAAGATGCCTTTTCCCAAGGACTTTGGTCTCCCGGGTCCTGGATCGAGCAGAACCCGAGCCGAAATCACCCAATATAGTGAATATCACTGTTCTATATCGGTCGGGGAATGTGAGAGCATTCTCAGGACTGGTTTAAATATATATAGCTCTTTCTAAGACTTTTGTATATATATAAGCTGGATTAATTTAAGAATAATATCTCTAAGCAGTTAGTAGTATAATAAAAGCCTTTTATATTGCCCTATAATACATATAGATTATTTTATATAGTACTATTTAAACAGTAACTTATAGAAATAAGTTAATATATAAAAGATTATAAATTATTATGGAACATAGAAGTATCAGGCCAGAAAGAAATTTTTAGGATAGAATAGCTCTTATGAAAATCCTCTTATAAGAAAAATAGCTATATAAGAATTATTCTAAAATTTAAATAAAAATAAGAAATATAGAGTTATAAAAAACATTTCTTTAAAACATAGATTTTCTAGAAGACTTAATCCATAATTAATATAATTATAAAATAATAAATATAAGAGCTTACAGTATAAGAGGTGGTTACTGTATCTGTTTTTAAGACTAGATAAAGAATATCTTAATAAGAATATCTATCTTTATTCATGATTTATAGTTTATTTATCACAGTAATATTAATAAGTAAGTCTTTTACTTGCAGGCTTAGTAATACAAATATCTAATAATTATAAAGTAATATCTAGCTGAATCACAGTTATCCCTGCCAAGTACTAGAAGTAAATATTAATTAACTTTTTAACTTAAAATGATAGATTATCACTGCATATATCCTACAGTAATCTTAAAAGATTATTTATTTTCTTTTTAATAATCTGATAAAGCTATATAAAAGATAACTATAATATAATTATAATACTATACTTCATGTTAATATATGTCCGCAGCTATATCTAAGACTTTTACCATATAGATTATAATTAGTAAACCTTTTTAAGCATGTGAAAGCATTGCGCTCACTAACAGTTAACAATATAAAGAACTATGTTATATATATTTTACTATCTTAAAAATAGGCTATAAAAATATAAAACACTTTTTATCTCTAGAAAAGTATATGAAGGATTACTATATAATCTATTAATTTACTTAGTTAGTATAGTCTTATAAATGTAGTAATTACTTTTATAAGTTATCTAAGTATATGCTAAATATTATAGAGATATATATTACTTTATTTTAAGTAAGTTTATCATAAAGTATGGCCATACTTATTTTCTTTCTGATTATGCCCAATATTCTTTTAAGATTATTTACAGTAAGATAAATAGTATAATAAAATATGTCCAGATTCTCTTTCTAAAAATAACTTAATAATATAAAAAGTAGTCCAAGAAGTGAATAAAGTTTGAAATATATCAGGTTTGGCTAGTTGCTTAACTATTTATCTATAAGAGTTGGAAAAGCTTTGATAAAGATAAACAGGATATTATATAAGCTTAATTAATTACTTTAAAAGTTTACTAGATAAACTGTATAGATCTTATCAAGGAAAAGATGTAGGTCCTGTGAAAAGAATATTATCTGGACTTACTGCAGGAGTACTAAGTTACAGGCCACCTCGTGGCTTGTAT